TAAGAGACACATTTTGTGTGCATAAAATGAAACACAATAAGATAGAGATACAAACGCAAAAAAATACAAGTGTGAATCCTTTGCGGATCATGAAATACAAGTTGAATCCTTCTGTGTGCATGTGTGTATTATGAGACTGTTCTGAGCATAAAAAACATTAACGGTGGCAACCCATGCTAGCATTAAAAAGTAACATGACTGCTAGCATATATAACTGCGCATTCAATGGCACGTCTCGAGCAGTGTTAGGCTGGTCCAGTATGCTTACACTGCGTTACGATTGTATTAATGACTGTTACTGTTATGAGCCACTAACATCTAGCATTGAAATGGTGTGCTAAGATGCTACACATATCATCAAAGATCCCAGGATCACCCGTTATTTTTGTTCTGGAGGTCAGGTTTTTGGGTTTCATGCGCACACTGGTCACTTTCATGGGATTGAACAAGTGGCCCATCTGTAAACTACTGTTTCCAGTTCTCACACGCTATTACTTCCCTGCTAATTCTTAAGCTTGTTAGCACTAACATTTCAAATTAATGCACATCTGCAGTACCTTAATTTACAGACAAGACTGTTGGCAGACTCAAGCCAGGTTAACGCCAAACAAATATAGCACATATTTTTGTTCAGCTGGAACTCTTTAAAAAAAAAAGACTTCCCTCCTAACATGTTTTTTTTACCAGATATCGCAAAAGAATGTGTTGGAATGTCTCTGTGGGCCCCTTATGTTTGTATGTTCTTCTCAGCTTGTACTGTAATTTAAAGTACCTTGCCATTGGATTGACATCCTTCATCTCTGACATGGCCTCTGGATTATTTTGGTAATTAGAACGTCGAACTGACTGATATGGAAGGTGCTGTAACTGTATGCGCAGTACAAAAGAGTCACCATGATTCAGCTGATATAACAAGTCCAATATCATCCAGTAGCGTATCCTACACTAACGAGAAAGCTATTGACCAAGGTGAACAAGCCTTCTAAGAGAAAATAACAGCATTAAAATCGAAGCTCGAATACTTAAGCAATCCATTTATGGTACTGCTGCCAAATAATGTATAAAAATAAGTTACCACCCAAATCTCGTTCTATCATTTAAACTGATCAGTTTTAATAAACCAGAGACGTTCAGACACAAAAGACTGAATTTCTTATTTACTTTCTTTGCCTATTTGTCCCAGGGCAGACACAGCTCCGCGATAAAAATGTTTACATTTTGCAATCCTGCATACTAAACGAAGGCTAATAGAGACTTTAAAATCCGAGTGTAAATCCACAATCATTTCCCAGAAGTGACTCGAGCTGCATAAACGTCTCTATGAAGTGTTAAGATATTTTGATCTGTGTGAGACTGAACAGATGGACTGGTGTGTAATGGGGAACACTTTCCTTCAACCAACTCCTTTATCATTCTTTCCCTTTCCTCCTTTTACAAGGCGTGTGTCTTAATCTTGTTTTAATTTGGGGCAAGGAAGGCGGCACAGACCGACTTCAGTTATGTATTACTGTCCAACCTTGAATTTTGAGATCAGAAACATGTTGCTTCTCACTGAAAGAAAAACGCTGTTTTGGTAGTAGTGTTCTGGTTTGTGACATATCAACATGTGAATGGACTTAGTTGAATGTACTTCTATAATTGGGAAGCAGAACTTTTTATTATACGAAATGAAATCTGTAGTGTTTTTTGGAACTGCAAAGTTCCTGAAAATTCACCGATGCCTTTTCACATTCTCTCACTTCTCCACCTCTATCACACATCACAACCAGCAGACATTTGAATGTACATTTCCAGACCTGCATATTGTCAGAACTTCCTCGTTTTTCCACAGTAAAATCCTCTGAAATGTAAATGGAAAAACTTGACATGCGTCTGCTCTCTTTAAATTGTCCCAAGTGGTACCTCTGTCTAATACTTGACTTATGTGCTGACCTAGCGTGAGTCATCAGCGAAGTCCATTAAAAGTTTAACACGTTATCTATGAAGGTATAGCATATGAGTAGTACTGTATGTATCACCTATGACACTATTAAACTATCAACTGTGACACACACACACACCACAACACACACACAACACACCACAACACACACACACACACACACACCAACACACCACACCACACACACAACACACACACACAACACACACACACACCACACACAACACACACACACACACACGACACACACACAACACAACACACAACTTTTTCATGGTATTCTACACTCTCTCTCTCTCCTCCCTCAACCACACACACACACACACACACACACACACACACCACACACACACCACCACACACCCACACACACACACACATCACACACACTCACACACACACCACACACACACCAACACACCACACACACCACACAAACACACACACACACACACCACACACACACACACACACACCACACAACACACACACCACACACAACACACAACCACACACGGTTCTCTAACTATTATCTTTGTATTTTATTGTTATTGTTGTTTTGTTTTTTGTTTTATGGCGTGTACAGCAACTTTGTTTCAGCTCCGGCTGGTTTTGAAAGGGCTTTTATAAATAAAGTTGAGTGATTGAGTTGATTAATCTTATAGCCTCTTCTTTGTTGACGAGTAAAATGAAAAAATCAACCAAGTGCAGATCCAGGGTGTGTTTTAACTGCTCCAAGGTCTCAAATTCAATTCCTAAAGAAATAGGTGGCTATAATATAATACCTCACTTTTTTTTTTCAGGTTTTGCTACAATTAACTTTGTCTCATTCCACGATTTTTTCTAAAGTTAATTATGTGACATTGTTAGCCAGATACACTGATTATAGAAAAGTGGCTTGAAATGTGCTTTTTACAGCTTAGAAATGCAATGGTATAGAAACTGTGAGTTACCTTTCTGTCTATGTTTTGAAGGAGAATGCATTCTCTGCCTCCCTGAGGAGAAAAATTAACTTTTTTTCATAAATAATTAGTGAATATCTTACACAGACCAAGACTGTCTAAAGCATTATAAAATAGCAAATCACATATCCCTCTGGCATGGTCAGCCATGAAATATGAGCTAATGAGAAAGATCTGATTTTAATTTCACTGGCCCTGCATGTACTGTAGGGAGGGAGCAGCAGTCAAGGGGGCAAAATAGCGAGGACACTAAATGTTCACAGTCAGGTCACCTACATATGGCCCTCTGCTGTTATAAGATGAGGTGGTTTACACCGACCAAAGCAATACACTCCGAAAAATAGAAAAAGGGGGTCTGCGAAACAATGATTAGAGACAACTCTTGCAGAAGGTCTGCCTCTCATTACGTGGCCTAACAGAGCACTCTACCTCTGTTTATGCAAATACTAAACAGTAAATGTCAAGCGCTACTGAAGACGCCAATTAAGGACGCCCATTTAAGGGAAAGGTTTAAATCATTCAAAATAAGCCAGACACGTATTCCACGCTGCCGTTAGATGTGAAGATTTTCAGGTTTAACACTTCACTCCAAAAACTAATTTAACATGATATGATTATATGTTTGTTTTTTCTAAAGCTCTGGAAGATGTTCCTGCACATTGACTACATCACTGGTATAAAGGGTACATATCTTAAATATAAGAAGGAAGTGTGAGCGCGGAAATAAATAATTGGTAGCATGGTGCCTTGGAGTCGCGCAGAACGAAATGTTCTCACGCTGCATGCAGCACAGAAGGCTGAGTCTAGCTGCACCACACACCCAAGTTCACTTCTCTGGCTGACCCAATTCCATGTAATACTACCTACTAGAGACACACACTGAGACACACACACAGTGTCACAAGAGGTAGGGGCTTCAATAGAAGGCTGCGTCACACCCAAAAAAACGTCACCGTTAACATAGCAAGTGCTTACTTCTTTCCAAATTATACTACTCTGTGTGTATCAAATGTTGCATGTTTTTCTTGAAATATTATTAATATATTTCTTTGTCTTTTTTTTTAACACCGCAATGGTGAATAGTTCAATCAATCCCACACATCTGTCAGAAGTGAATCTGGCTCCAACAAATGATTCCCTTTTAGTATACTCCAATCTTCCAAATTATCCTTCCCTATTAATTTGTCCAGAAATGGCCAAACAAATGCAACCCAAAAACAAAGATGATACACAATGATACACCAATACAGAAAACAAGTAAATACACCAAATGTAAAAAAGCTGGAACCAGCTAAATGTCTCACATTTTTGCTTCTAATTACTTGAATGACAAATCGATTATAGAAGGAGGTGAAGATATGCTCGATTAACCATCAAAAATCGACCAATTATTTTGGCTTCACGCATGACAACAACCAAAAAAAAGCACAAATACAAGTTACATTGAAATCCTTTAGTAGTAGGGCCTATGTGTGATGTGGCGGAACAAAAAACATGGTAAACTAGCCCTGTGGACCCCTGTCACTGTATGGCACACAACAAGCATCCTTACACAGAAACAATTAATTGAGTTGTCAAATATAATTCAATATATAGTTGCAAACATTTCTAAGCAAAAGCAGCTATGACTTTCCATGTTCAATATACCACCATATACCAACCACCACCCCGCCCTCCCATCTCTGCACTTACAGCACGGTGGTGTCCGGCGGGATGTCCGCCGCTGCCGGGGCCCTCTCTAGCCCGAGGTGGGAGCAGTTGACGGCGCAGGACGGCAGGGGCCCCGCCGGCGTGCAGCTGCAGTTGACGGGACAGGGGCTGCAGCTCCGGCCGCCGTCCCCCGCAGGCCCGGAGCCCCATGCCCCCAGGCAGCAGAGCGCCACAAGCAGACTGGAGAAGAAACTAAGCCTCGGGACGCAGACGCCATGTTTTCGCTTGGTTAAAGTCTGTCCATTTCCACAAGGCATAGCTCACTCACATCTCATCGCCTCTGATGGTGTAAGTCCTCTCAGTCTGGGAAGGAACAAAATACTCAAAACAAAGGCAAACACACGCGTCCCTGTTCACGGCTCTCATGTGAGAGGGGACAACACGAAAAGAAGGGATTCACTTTTAGACACCGTTAACTCCACTGCGTTTACTTCACTTCTTATGGTCGGATCCCCCTTCTTCTGAAAATCTAACGGAGCTTCTCCACAATCCTTCCAGGGGAAAAAAAGTTTTGGAGAACTTCCTCTCTCCTCCTCCTCCTTCCACTCGATGCAGTACCATGAGCCCCCGCTGCACCCTGCTTCATTCGGTCATTACTTTCTCAATGTAGAAGCCAAATTGTACTCATTGCATTGAACACAACTTATAAAGTAGAAACAATTACAAAAGTCTAAATAAAACACATACATTAATAATTGTTGTATTGAAAATGATGTAGTGTTCTTTCTATTATCATGGTCATTATTGTTTTAACCTGCCAGTGACAAAACCAGCCTTTTTGTCAACATTTATTTTGAAAATTGTAAATGCAATATAAATGTTGTGACAATGGCATTTTTAAATTATTTAGACTGTTGTGTGTTTTTAGTTGTGACAGAGGCTGCACATCGTCAATTTGTATAGTTGTATTCTATAATGCATTGTTGGAGGAGCTCGGGTCATACGATTTTCATTGCCATTACTACACTGTAGCTTATGTGCATATGACATTAAAACCTTTGAATCTTGAATCTTGAAATGTGGATTTTTCCTCTTTTCTACAGTAACCAGATATCATATCTGGGAATATTCACAGTCCAATTAACAATAGCACTTTGTAATATTTTTGAGAGTTTTCTGTTTTTTCTATGCTGTCCTCAGAAGTTCTTCGGATGTTTTTCAGCTGGCAGATCTCTCTTCATGTTTCTTAAGAAATACAAGTCAGTCTCTGGGCATGCAGTACCAATAAAAACTCAGCATTAAGTAGAGCCAAGCGCAGATTAAATCAATTCAAATACAGTTAAATCAATAAATGAGTTTACACTTGTCAAAGCAGCATTAGCTCAGTGCATCATGAAGGTCGGTATTTCATTATCTCTGCAGAAGAGCTGCAGGTGGGATGATGAAGTTGTACCCCCCCAAGTTAGTCTCCGTCATGCATAGATTCATTCTGAAATTATTTTTGCAAAAATGAATAAAATGCAAGTCCAAAAATACATGACTTTTTGAGTACCTTGATGTAGCCACTCTGTATTCCTTCATCTCGAGTGATATGACTGCTGATGACATGGCCTCCATCACCCGCTGAGATGTGAAGATTTTTGTCACTAAATTGTAGAAATAAAACCACTCTTCTGTGATTTCATTATGAAATTACATTTGCAAAACTTCTTTTTTTAGGCACTTCCATGTCTCTCTGTGTTTCCTGTAGCAGTGGAGGGCACGTGTTGGAGTCGTTTCCTGTGGCCGAGCCATCCTCCCTGCAGGCATATGGTGCTCTGTACAAGGAGAGGAAGAGCCCCATAACAACTCTCATGCTCTCTTATCCTCACTGGCAGTATCTCACTGCAGACTTCATACTTGAGACACAAGATTAAGATTGTTGAAATAATAAGTATCAAACGGGAAAATATGTTTTTATTTGTAATGCTGCTCGATTTAATCATCATGTATACACATATTTTTGGAAACTTCAGGATCTACGTTAGATTTAAAATAACGTCCCTATATAAAATCCTAAAACACAAAATGTTGTCCAAGGAAATAAAAGGGTTATACATTGCATTTTGATTTGATTTTATCTTAGGTGACGTGTCCAGTACAGTGGGCCTTTAATTTTGGTTGACCCGTCTCTTCCATTTGGTCAACGGTGTGTAAGAATAAATCTTGATATCATTTCTCATCAGAGAAGCTACATTGCTAAGTTCCTGAACCCCAGGTGTATGGATGAAGTGCAGCATCTCTGAAAGAGCCTTTTACACATGGGGGGCTTTTACACTTCACTTTACAATGAACAGGAACAAGGGGGGAGGGAATGACACAAAGGTGGAGGTAGTCCTAGTCAACTTTAATTGCATGACCCGTAATTACAGTCGCAGTCTCAAAGGGCTTCACAAGCCCACATTATTTATAGGAAGAAAATTACTATCATCAAAATCAAGCTTAGAGAAAATCAGTTGGGTGTCAGACCGTAGACCAATGAGCGACCGGAGCAATCCATGAAGAGAATACTGACGTATGTTCAGGTTGATTAGCTTTTGTTAAATTGAATCAAGTTATCTGCAAATCATGTCATTCCTTCACATAATGTGCTCCTACCTCTTGAAGTTCAATTGACAAATTGCAACAAACAAACACATCCATGTTAGCAGCTCTCTGAGGCCGTATATTAATGTTAAGATGCTCAATTTGCTGATGTATAACAGCTATTAATACTATAATGTAAATTATGTATGATGCATTGTCCACCTTCTTGAATTAGTTAACAAGCATGCTAACTTTGAATGATAAAACATGGTTGGTATAAATATTGGTCTAGTATAAATAACATTTTCTAAAATAACTTCAGTTTCTGTCCATAAACCAAAGTATTGGATACATTACAAATGTCTTGATGATGCTACTATGAAAAGTTAATGGAGTTGTCGTAAAGTTATTAAAATGTATCCTGAGAGGGGATGATTGTGTGTAACAGAATGTCATGGAATTTATTCATTACGTGTTTAGATATTTCCGTGTGGACCAAAGTATGACTTTTACCGACAAAGCTTGGTGAAAACAACGATGAGTTTTTTATTTTAAATATGGATTTATTTTCCATACTACGATGAATAATTGATATAAGTACTGAGACTGCCAAGG